TAGGTGATGATGTACGGTGCATATCGTCCAGTTTCACTAAGCTAGGACTTTGGTTAGTATGGTCGACTTGCGTCCTTGGGCCTCTTCAACTGGACTTTTAAACGTTTCATCCCTATCTGGAAGCCGTTCATCGATTGAATTGCTGCCTGCGCGCTCGCTGGATTGTCGTACGACACGAAACCTGAAAGAATCGGATGATAAAGCTGATAATAACACTAGGACCGAACATTGAATTCTTTTTGGAAAACTCTTGAAATAAAATTACTCGAAAACAGTGTAAAGTATTATTATTGAAGTTTGCTTGAATGTCGTATTTCCCTATAATTTGTAATACAATTGAACTATATTAATTAGATGATGAATTGTTTATTCTACATGCATACGATCATTATCAATGAAAATGAATCAATTCGTTTATATGTATAAGGGTCGTTCAACGCGAAATCGGATACCTTTTGGAGCACCATTTTGGATTTTGTTCCAATTTGGATATGTTGCAGTCTTTATCGATATAAACGTATTTCGAAGGATTTTTGAAAATTTTAAAAAATTGTATTGATTTTACAGCTGTTTGAAATTTAAGGTCAACCTTTTTTCAATAAATGATAACTATTGAACTAACAAACTGATCAAAATGAGCTTTGAGAGTACGAAATAAAAATTATTTCAGTTAAAAAAGATATTTTTTAACCATTTATTTTGCAATTGTTTCAAATAAATGTCCTGTTTTTATAGGAGGATATAGCCCTATTTGTCCTCTTTATGGATGCTTATATATCGATAAAGACTACAATATATCCAAATTGGAACAAAATCTAAAATGGTGCTCCAAAATGTGTCCGATTTCGCGTGGAATGACCCATAATGAGAAATCAATTCTGATGCTTACAATCCCCTTTTACTATTACATATATGTAGACTCACAAGGGAACTTCACTAACCCGAAAATTCTGATTTTTTTAAACTTTACAGATTTGTAGGCAATCTCAATAGAAGTTTTAGGCAATTTAAGGGTCAATGTGCGTTTTCTTATTTTCTTGTATACTTTAAAAACTATGATAGATATAAGGCACTTGTTCGTATGAAAATTTAATGACTTTTTGCGTTCTATAAAATTGTGCAATGAAATTGTTACAAAATTCGTTCATTTGTTTATTTAAACACCAACTTTTAACAACTTTATAGCATAGTTTTATAGAGCACAAAAAACCATTACATTGACATTTTAACAATTTTTCTATATCTACAATAGTTTTCAAGATATACCTACAGGAAAATAGTAAAACACGCATTAACTTTGGCGTAAGTACTTAAGGGGACTTTCTCATTCAAAATTGAAAAAAGACATTTTTTTAATATTTCCTTATAAAAAAACTATTATATTTAGAAACATAATTCCTTTTGGACGCTATTATATATATTATTAAGAACATAAAGAAATTTTTTCTAGCATTTTTAGTTCACCACGACCGTTGTAGAAGGCGTCTTCCAAAAAGCCACGTTTTAATCGGTGAGACATTTTGCAGACGTCCTGTAAAAAATTAAGTAAAAATTCAAACGGGATTCTATTCGTGAGACTTAAAACTAGACAATAAACCTCTAAAATATTTTATTTTTTGTATTTTTTATCGTTTTATACATATTTTTCCGAAAAATTCGAAAAATCACTCTTTTTTGGGGGCAATTCACCCCTGTATAAAATAGGGGGAGGTAGTTTTATGAACTTTTAGAGGTTTATTGTCTAGTTTTAAGTCTCACGAATATAATCCCGTTTAAATTTTTACTTAATTTTTTACAGGACGTCTGCAAAGTGTCTCACCGATTAAAACGTGGCTTTTGGAAGACGCCCTCTACAGCGGTCGTGGTGAACTAAAAGTGCTAGAAAAAATTTCTTTATGTTCTTAATAATATATATAATAGCGTCCAAAAGGAATTATGTTTCTAAATATAAAATTGCGGGTTCATATTTTACAATTTCTGAAGTTATAATAACACTTTTTATGAAATTTATTGTTGACTTCTGATTTAGTATACATTTTATATGACTGTATTACGCTAGATTGTATTATGTATATTACTAAATTTTACAAATTAATTTAATATACGTTCACTGCTGGTAGTTATAATGTTAAATATTCGAAAATCATCAGTTTCCCACTTTCAATGTTTAAGCATTGTTCTCAGTTCGGAATCACTACTTAATCGAGTCGATACTGTTTTCTACTCATTTTTAAATATCGTTTGGAAACTATTATAGCTCCACTTGGATAAGATTTACCGTGGCAAGAGAAAACTAGACAAGCAATAAATAGATATACTAAAATACATACTTCGTACGTAAATGTATCAAAATGACTAGACGTAGACTAGGTAAGTAAAATTATAGGAAAGCAACTGTATGCATTCAACCGGTTCAGATGATCTTTCTTTCGGTTTCTTTCATATCAAGAGGAATATGATCTTACCAATGTTATCGCCATCTTTGCCTTCTTCCTATTTTTGTTCGTTTTGTTTGAATAATCACAGCCTAATTGACATTTCTCGGGCGATGCGCGTTCGGTCAATTAAACGAGAACGATTTCATGCAAGTATTGAGCTACGAGATCGAACAGCAACAAAATCTCGATCCCTATCAATCGCGAAGCGTTAGCGGTCAGATCGAACGACCATTCATTAGAAAAGTAACTCCGACGAACATAGTCTCGGCCGAAAAAATTGCCCGCTTTTCGCAATTAATGGCCACCGTAATTGATAATTATGATTATAATAATAACGATGATGAAGATGATGATAATAAGAGTAGTGATAATCAATTCTATACATGGAAAACGAGCGCTGTGACGTGGACGACCGGACTTCCGGATAACTTCGTGTTGACACGGCACTGGTGATTCCTTTTTTAAATGTCACGTATAAAAAAAAAGAATATATAAGTAATATATAAGAATATATAAGTAAAAAGGACCGATAACCCACGGATGTGTCGGATCGGCACTGATTCGATTTTGTTACATGTGTACGTATATCGTGTGAGTGTACGTAAGTGTTCACGTATGCACGTGTGTGCAGGTAAATGTATTCTTCTTCGTACATAATATCGTTTTCAGAAAGTTTTAGACGTTGCGTAAGACGAGCACCCTGTATACGTGATTGACAAGTTTACGTTAGGAAAGACCGCGAGTACTGCTTCAGTGATAAATCACTGTCGGTCTTGTCTAAAAATCACACGACATAGAGACGATCCTAGTGATGCCACTATATCGATATTGTAGCGATCGCGGGTTCCTAGACTAAAGCTGAGAGATTCTACCAGATCCAACATTTTCTATGTGATCGAAATTAAAATTGGCATTGTTACTTATAAACGAATAGACTTCAAGTGTGACTGAACTTATTTTTTTGGCGGTAGTCGCCATGCCTTTACGTGAGGAACTAAGAGTGTTCTTGACTTATTGTTGGGAGGTCACCCGTCTTGAACGTTTATAATAATTATTAAACTAGGACTTAATAGGTCATCGGAATGATAATTTGAACGAGAAACATCAGCCTCTCGCATAGACTTCCCGAATGATCGGATGTTCGAATCATACTAGTATAGCTAGATAACAGATGGATCTCCTTTTGATATTGTTCTCGTTTGGCAGTATGATTCAAGAATGAAGAAAGAAAATAGAAGAAAAAGTTGCGTAAACGAGAGTCGGAGACAGTGAGCGCAACATTAAGGATGAAAATAACAATATACTCCTAGTAAATAATTCGTTTTATCCGAACATTCGAGAGCGTGGAAGCGTACATCGTACTCGTTTTTTGGTTTTTCGAACTGAGTTTAGTTCTGGACATCCGATGTTTTAGCATCAGCTTCTTCGTTCTCGCCGTGTGACTGCAGGCGATGTCGCTTTACTGATTCCTAATTTTTATCTTCTAATTAATTGTCTAACTAGTATACTAGGTTATTATAGTGGAGAGCGTTGTAACGGTGGTTTAAACTCGTCACTTCTGATCATCGAGCGTTCAAAGAGCCCGGTTTCTTGTACATCTGTAATCAGAAATTGTTAATGCTCCGTTATTCATTAATTTCAACCGAGAATCAGTACTTGTTTAACATCATAAACTTTTATTTCAAAGAATTGTAGTTAATTTTTTTTGGAACAGTATACAATAACTTTTTACATCAACAATAATATAAGTGGTTAAGACTGTGAAAATGAGACAATTCATTATGCAATCTTTTATGAAACTTCATTTTTGCAAAAATGCATTTTGGAATTTTGTCATGCGTGCTTGTATTTGAACACGACTGGCTATTGTCTGTCCATTGTTGACTACTTTTACTAATAGCACGTTGGCACTGGTATAGTAAAGACGTAAATATATATTATTTGTTTATGTGTTTTCCATTGATCTTGTTATTTTCTACCTCAATAATTATATTTAATTACTCAGAACAAACGTATAAAAAGAACACGATCCTGGTTTAAACATCTTTTGTGTAAAATGAAGACGTATATGGAAAAAGTTTATTTCATATTTTTTATTTATTTTGACGCGAAAAATCGATCTTTTTCGATTGTATTACGAATTACACGTCGCTCTACGTTACACTTGACAGAATGAATTATATAACCGACTACATAAGTATTTTAATACACGCGAATAAATGAATAGTTATAATAATACTAAAATTAATATTTCAATAAGATTTTCATATTTTTTTAATGTTCGATTTTATAAATGATATAAAATGCAAATTTTCGATTCTTATACATATAATCTGTGAGATAGTTATATTCTGTTTTTAACAAACGGTATTACTCAGGACAATGTCAAGATATCGTATTATTCAATTTATTATGTCGATTTACGTTGCAGTTAGAACATTCATTCTTGTTGTATTATATCATTTGCCCCGCTCAACTCTCTAAGAACAATTTTTTGAAACATACTCTGTAGGTGATGATGTACGGTGCATATCGTCCAGTTTCACTAAGCTAGGACTTTGGTTAGTATGGTCGACTTGCGTCCTTGGGCCTCTTCAACTGGACTTTTAAACGTTTCATCCCTATCTGGAAGCCGTTCATCGATTGAATTGCTGCCTGCGCGCTCGCTGGATTGTCGTACGACACGAAACCTGAAAGAATCGGATGATAAAGCTGATAATAACACTAGGACCGAACATTGAATTCTTTTTGGAAAACTCTTGAAATAAAATTACTCGAAAACAGTGTAAAGTATTATTATTGAAGTTTGCTTGAATGTCGTATTTCCCTATAATTTGTAATACAATTGAACTATATTAATTAGATGATGAATTGTTTATTCTACATGCATACGATCATTATCAATGAAAATGAATCAATTCGTTTATATGTATAAGGGTCGTTCAACGCGAAATCGGATACCTTTTGGAGCACCATTTTGGATTTTGTTCCAATTTGGATATGTTGCAGTCTTTATCGATATAAACGTATTTCGAAGGATTTTTGAAAATTTTAAAAAATTGTATTGATTTTACAGCTGTTTGAAATTTAAGGTCAACCTTTTTTCAATAAATGATAACTATTGAACTAACAAACTGATCAAAATGAGCTTTGAGAGTACGAAATAAAAATTATTTCAGTTAAAAAAGATATTTTTTAACCATTTATTTTGCAATTGTTTCAAATAAATGTCCTGTTTTTATAGGAGGATATAGCCCTATTTGTCCTCTTTATGGATGCTTATATATCGATAAAGACTACAATATATCCAAATTGGAACAAAATCTAAAATGGTGCTCCAAAATGTGTCCGATTTCGCGTGGAATGACCCATAATGAGAAATCAATTCTGATGCTTACAATCCCCTTTTACTATTACATATATGTAGACTCACAAGGGAACTTCACTAACCCGAAAATTCTGATTTTTTTAAACTTTACAGATTTGTAGGCAATCTCAATAGAAGTTTTAGGCAATTTAAGGGTCAATGTGCGTTTTCTTATTTTCTTGTATACTTTAAAAACTATGATAGATATAAGGCACTTGTTCGTATGAAAATTTAATGACTTTTTGCGTTCTATAAAATTGTGCAATGAAATTGTTACAAAATTCGTTCATTTGTTTATTTAAACACCAACTTTTAACAACTTTATAGCATAGTTTTATAGAGCACAAAAAACCATTACATTGACATTTTAACAATTTTTCTATATCTACAATAGTTTTCAAGATATACCTACAGGAAAATAGTAAAACACGCATTAACTTTGGCGTAAGTACTTAAGGGGACTTTCTCATTCAAAATTGAAAAAAGACATTTTTTTAATATTTCCTTATAAAAAAACTATTATATTTAGAAACATAATTCCTTTTGGACGCTATTATATATATTATTAAGAACATAAAGAAATTTTTTCTAGCATTTTTAGTTCACCACGACCGTTGTAGAAGGCGTCTTCCAAAAAGCCACGTTTTAATCGGTGAGACATTTTGCAGACGTCCTGTAAAAAATTAAGTAAAAATTCAAACGGGATTCTATTCGTGAGACTTAAAACTAGACAATAAACCTCTAAAATATTTTATTTTTTGTATTTTTTATCGTTTTATACATATTTTTCCGAAAAATTCGAAAAATCACTCTTTTTTGGGGGCAATTCACCCCTGTATAAAATAGGGGGAGGTAGTTTTATGAACTTTTAGAGGTTTATTGTCTAGTTTTAAGTCTCACGAATATAATCCCGTTTAAATTTTTACTTAATTTTTTACAGGACGTCTGCAAAGTGTCTCACCGATTAAAACGTGGCTTTTTGGAAGACGCCCTCTACAGCGGTCGTGGTGAACTAAAAGTGCTAGAAAAAATTCCTTTATGTTCTTAATAATATATATATAATAGCGTCCAAAAGGAATTATGTTTCTAAATATAATAGTTTTTTTATAAAGAAATATTAAAAAAGTGTCTTTTTTTTCAATTTTGAATGAGAAAGTCCCCTTAAGGGGTGTTTCCACCCAAAAGAATCCAAAAGTTGCAAAAAAGAAAACTTTCTTGAACTTCGATTCAGATCTTCCACGAACCTGCAATATTTCGAAAAAATTGGAATTTTTATATTACAAAAGTTCCCTTATCAGTCATTCGTTAGTCAATCCTTACTTCGTTCACGATAACAATTATAATGTAAACGTATCGCAAAACTTTTATATGAAATTGGCATGCATTGCCTTTTTACAAATTAAGATATTAGTCTTTTATTTTGCGACGAAAATCAAACGTCGAATATTGACACCCGGAGGCGTTGAATTTTTAAAAAAGGGTAGTCGTGAGTTAATCAGTAATTTAGATTACTCGACTCGCCGCGCGGAATAAAAAGTTTTCTATAAACGGGTTCCGGTATTATCAGAGTTTCGTCTAGATCGAGAGAAAGAGAGAGGGAACGAAAAGGTGTACGATAACGAAGCTTTTAACAACAGGAGCGCTGCTGAAAGGCCATCAAGGCCATCCCAGTTTAAGCCAATTTTGACCATTAGCCCCGATCCAATTTTAGTTTTGCCATCATGGCGGCCTACTGCATGACCAATCGCGGGTGTTCATCGCTCGGCGACCGCCGCTTTTACTCCGAGTTCGTAAATTACTTTTACTAGGCGACAGAGGGAGACTTCAACTTTTGTTTGATACGAAACATTTCTTTTGGACTTTTTCTCAGAACACCAGGCCCGTTACTGAGTTTCGAGAAATTTGTTCGGGGCATTGTAACGCGTTGCTATGCATGCGGCGATTGAATCGGATTGTACGTGATGACAGATTATTTTGGTTACAAAACTCCAAGTATTCTCGTCCCCTTTCTTTTCATCCTGTTAAAGAATTTTTTCCACTAATTGATCAAAGTAGATTACCAAGTGCGCGTTTCAAACGAATGGTACACTCGGCTTGGCCGTTCCTTTTTTTCATCAGGAGCAGCGCTGTGATTATTACACGCAAAGGGACATATTATAACGTTGAGATATAATGACGCGTGTCCTTTGAACGACAAAATTCATTCAACTGCGCCCTTTATAATGCCCCGTAATCGGAATGCGAGGGGCAGAACAATATTAGTCGCGCTAGCTGTTAGTGAATAGCCTAAGGAGTCTGCGGACGTGTGCGTCGATCCAATTATCTGCGTTCGGATTCGCGTATTCGTTCCGTATACGATTAATAAAAGCAGACATTGATCACTTTTTTAAACTCCTTTTTGTTTCGGTCCTCTTCGATATACAGAACAAAACGGTTCCCGATTTCATCCTAGTTGGTCCGCATTCAAATGAGTATTCATGTTCAATGGAGAATTCACGCGTATACATTCATGAATTGAAATTTTTTGGAATGGGAGGACTGTGATACTATTCGAACGAAAATTAGAAATATACATTCTAAAAAATTACATTCGTGTAATTATTTAAAAGACTGCTTGTAATAATAGATTCGAATCATTGTTTTTTTTACGATTTTGGAGAAAATAAATAACCGGAATTATTTGTTAAAAATTACCCAAATCGATTGACATACCCCCATTTTCTCTTCAAATTTGTTTCTATATTTTTTTGGTAGATAACAAAACAGTTTAATGAAAAAAGCAATCAAATAATGCTCTAAAAAAAGTTTTTTGGGTTTATATGCAACATTTCAAAATCTGTGCATACGAAATAATCGGTTTACGGAAACTAAATTCGAATATTTCAGGATTGGTTTGTTGGTTTGTATGTACAGTTAATTGTAAGTTTATTAGAAATTACGTCGTGCTTCTCTCCGCGAGTTCTATAATTAGTAAAGTCGAAACGTGTATGGTTGAGACGGGTTTTTTGAAAAGATTTTTATTATTTTACCAGTGTTTATGACCAATGAACCATTTTTCGTGTTATACGGAGATCATTGTTTTGTTAGTTAGTCCACACCGGGGTCGCACACGAACACCTTCTGTGTTTCCTACCTTTGACAGATATCAACGACGGTCCAGCTATCTGTTCAACGGTCAGGCTACGTTTGCTGAACGGTCACTCCAGGCCACGTGTGATCTGTTTCGTGAAAATGACATACTTACCGAAACATTTACTCTGGTTGGTGGCCCGGTCGATGAAAACCTTGGAGGATATGACGTTGCCAAAAGGGATGAACGTCTGCATGAGCTCAGGGTCACCAAACTCTTGCGGCAGATGATAGATGAACAGGTTGCAGCCCTCGGGTCCTGAGAGAGAGCATCCTACCATATAAATCAGAGCACATCTAAACATCTAAACTTGAAGTATAATACTCAAGTTAGAATGTTAGTTCAGGATAAGTTTCGTCCTTTGCAATAATGATTCCGACGCGTTAAAAGAGCTGCCTCATGTCAGCGAGGATGCAGATTTTTGCTCTCTCTCTCTCTCTCTCTCTCTCTCTCTCTCTCTCTCTCTCTCTCTCTC